TAACAAATGATTCTAGACATAGAAATTGTGTAAATTTCAATTAAGAATTACATAAATTCAATCAAGATTTAACCAGTGTTATTAGCAAGCTTAAACATAAATTATCTAAAAAGGAAATGATAGACAGACTGAAGATGAAGCTCATGCCCTTGATTTGCTTGCTGAGGTCAGACCTTTGCTACCTACAGAAATTCTTAGACGTAAGGAAGTGAGGAGTGATGTTTGGAGGCTTAGTAAAATGTTGGAATGGATTTGGTTGCAGAAGTCCAGAGTGAATTGGGCACTTACAGGGGATAAAAATACAAGATATTTTCATATCATGGCTTGTAGCAGGAATAGTAGGAATTCTTTGTGCTCCATTGTCGTGAATGGTACAATGTTGGAGGACCCTATGGAAATTAAAGCTGAGGTGAAGGCCCACTTTCTAAAACATTTTTCTGAGGATTGGAAGGTTAGACCTAAATTATCTGGGCACTTCAAGACCATTGGAGGACCACAAGTTGTTGAACAATTGGAGGCTGAGTTTATTGAAGAGGAAATTAGTTCTGTAATCAAGACTTGTGATGGAAATAAGGCACCCGGACCTGATGGATTCAACATGGCATTTTTCAAGAAATGTTGGAAAATTGTGGTGAGTTAACATCTCCTCAGAACCGGAGTAAATCTATCGTTCTTGACCGGAGTAACTCTAACAGCTTGGGCCGGAGTGCCTTTAATCTCTCCTGGGCCGGAATACCCTTTACGGCCTTTTTTACTCAATCCTTCGCGTTTTGGGCCTCAAAGCCCAACTCGCAGCTCGGCCCAATTTTTCCCAAAAATTACCCTCTCAGATATTTTTTTAAAAAAAATAAAAACCCAACCGCTTTAGATTGTTAGGAAAAAGGCTATGCACTAATATAATTTAATTAATAAAATGATTAAGAGATTTATGATAAATAAAATATGAAAGCAAGTAAATTCACAAAGAGTAAGAAAGAATTGGCCTGTGAGATTGAGAGGTGTGTAATCACTGCTCTAAAGCCGTTGTTCCTCCCACATAAAGGTACAACCGGAGTGCAACGGCTCCAAGATACAACCCAAGCGCTCATAGCCTTCCTCATCCGATGTTCACGTTCACCATGAGGATATAGTTGCCCAGAAATATATAAAATAGATAAAATACTCTTATGTTAAAACTCAATATCACATATACATATGTCTTGTTGCGATTTTTATCCATCCTCCATTTTTAGAAAACACAAAAATATATATATAAGTGAAAATTTCATAACATTTAATCATTATATAATTATAATAATAAAACTTAATATCTATGTAACCGAAATATTTAAAACCAATATTAATGCTCATAATGGTTAAACAAATTAAATAAAAATAATTAATTTTATTTTTATTAAAACTCCAACAACTTTATAAATCTAAAAATACGGATCTCCAACCTTACTCACAAATATATTACACCACACAGCACGACACACATGCACAACCTACACCTCATGACACACACTGCCACCAACACTACACGTTGCCCACAAAGGGGTCACCAACACTACACGTTGTCCTCTGCTAAGATTTCTATCTTGGTTAATGGGTCACCAACGCCTGAATTTTGCCCACAAAGGGGCCTTCGTCAAGGTGATCCATTGTCACCATTTTTGTTCAACATTGTAGCAAAGGGTCTCAATATATTACTAAGCCGGGCAAAAGAGTTAAACTTAATCAATGGGGTAGAGGTGGGGTCCAATGGCTTAAGAGTAACTCATTTGCAATTTGTGGATGACACTATTTTGTTTTGTGAAGCTAAGCAGGAGGAAGTTTGTAATATCAAAAGAATTTTAAGATGCTTTGAGATGGCTTCGGGGCTGAAAATAAATTACCACAAGAGTGTCATTTGTGGTGTTGGGGTTGATGATGGACTATTGCAAGAGTTTGCTTTTAGTCTAAACTGCCTCTATCAAAAGCTACCTATAATGTATTTAGGTTTGCCATTGGGGGTCAACCCAAGTAGGAGAAGTACTTGGAAACCTGTTCTTGTCAAACTTAAGCAGAAATTGGCTAATTGGAAGAGAAGACTACTTTCTTTTGCCGGGAGGTTAACTCTAATCAAGTCAGTTTTGTCCAATTTACCGGTTTACTATCTATCATTGTTCAAGATTCCTGTTGGGGTGGCTAAGGAGATTGAGAAATTACAATCGGCTTTCTTGTGGGGTGGATCAGATCTCAGAAGAAAAGTGCATTTAGTCCGATGGGAGGAAATTGCAAAGAATAAGAATCTAGGTGGTTTGGGGTTGAGGAGGATTAAAACATTCAATGACTGCTTGTTGTTAAAATGGTGGTGGAGGTTTGGAGCTGAGAACCACACACTATGGAAAGAAGTGTTATGCGCAAAATATAATGTTCATTATGGGAAATGGTTACCAACTTTGGGAGAGGTTCTAAGATCTGGACTGATATAATTAATGTAGCTTTGTTGAATCCGGACTTGCATAATTTCTTTATTCATAATTCTCAGATAGCTTTGGGTGATGGGAGTAGAGCTCACTTCTGGTTGGACAAGTGGATTGGTAACGTGTGCTTAAAGGAGGAATTCCCTAGACTCTTCTCTCTATCTAATAATAAGCATGGGGTGGTAAGGGTGTTTTTTGAGAATAGGGGTGTAGCTGATGAGTGGAACCTTGAGTTTAGAAGAACCTTGTTGGCTTGGGAGGAGGAGGAAGTACGTAGATTAGTTTGTTTGCTCAGACGTGCACCGGATCTTTGCAGTGAAAAACCAGATGTATTGAAATGGGCAGCAGATTCATCTGGACTGTTTAGTGTAGCATCAGCATATAAATGGAGTGAATCCCTTCTTGGTCCGGTTATGGCAATGGCAGGCTCTATATGGAATAATTTTGCTCCTCCTAAAGTACAATTTTTTGGATGGTTGGCATGGCTTGGTAAGGTCAAAACTTCCTGGTTCCTTCACAGAATTGGTATACTTGATGGGGGTGCCAATCTTGAATGTGTGTTTTGCCATAATGATGTTGAAACTGTGGAGCATATTCTTCTTGTATGTCCTTTTGTTTGGAGGCTTTGGTCAAACATTGTGCGATGGTGGGGCTTTCAATGGGTCATGCCAGGTTCTGTAGATGGACTGCTGCAGTGGTGGTATGGGTGTAGTATGTCAAAATTGGAGAAAAAAATCTGGATGGTCATTCCTATGGCAACTCTTTGGTCTCTTTGGAGGCATAGGAACGAGTGTGTTTTCAATAAACTACAACCCGATTTTGAAGCTCTATGTGACATTGTGAAAGTTCGAGTAGCTTTGTGGACTAAGGCATCGCCATTACAGGTGGCAGCTTCTGTAAATGATTTGGTGTACAACTTGCAGCAGGTCAAGTTCTGTCTGAGATGTGGTGGTTGAGTGTGTTTTTGTTATGGGTATTTATCTCAGAAAAACTGTTGTCTGCTCTGGTGTTAAGCTTGCTGGGTATCTATTTTGGTATGGGTATGCATCTTGGTGTTGAGCTACTCCTCCTCCCAAGCTACTGGTTTGTTTGTTACATTTGCAGATTTTTTTCTACTACTTCTGCAGATTTTCTTCTTCTGTTGTGCTGCTGGAGCTTTCTGGTTGTTGTCTACTTCTGCAGATTTGATTCTACTCTGTTTGCTCTGCTGGTTTGTGAGGTAAGTGAGGATGAAATCACATTCTTGACTGGAAATGATGACGATGCAGCGATAGAGAAGCTTTACCACCCAAATCTTAAGCTTTTGATTAGCATGAATGCTTTTTGCCATTGTGTTCAAGGTTTGATTTGCAGCCAAACAGACTGTCAAAGTTGCAGAATCTGCCACCCAAATCTTAAGCTTTTGATTGTTACCGAAGGTGCAGGGGGCTGCAGATACTACACTAAGGAATCTAAGGATAGGGTTGATAGTCACAAAGTTGATGCAGTTGACACAACAGGTGCAGGTGATGCTTTTGTTGCTGGATTACTGAATAGTTTGGCTTCAGACCCTACTTTGTACAAGGAGGAAGAGAAATTAAGGGAAGCTCTTGTCTTTGCGAATGGCTGTGGTGCTCTCACAGTGATGGAGAAAGGAGCGATTCCTTCATTGCCGTCAAAAGAAAAGGTTCTCAAATTTCTGAAATAATGCCACAGCATGACAAAGATGAATGTTTTTTGCCATTGTGTTCAAGTTTTGATTTGCAGCCAAACAGACTGTCAAAGTTGCAAGTTGGTGAATTCTATTGGTGTATGGTGCCATCTAATTCCCCCAGTCTGAGGCTGATCTGTGTGGCTGCAGAGGCTGTGATGTTGCTAGCAGCCTGGCTCTAGGTAGGTGCTGAAGTGTTATTGTGCTGTTGTGCTTGGGGTATTGAGCAGCTGTGGGTTTTGAGTGTTAGTGTTTTTTCTTCAGTCCACCCGAACAGCCAACAATTGGAAGTAATGGCATGAAGTGGTTAGGATGATCATAGTGTGTTTCTGTGTTATTGTTTAAGGAGGGAGCTTTTTCTCCGCTCTTTTTGTTCTTTCTCTTTTGTTGTTTGCCTGATGGGTTTCTCACCAATCTTGGGTCAAGTGCTAGCAAATGATTTTGCTTCCTTTGCGGTGCCAACCTAGTTGGGATTGTAGAGGGTAGCTTTGATGCTCAGTGCACTTCCCTGCTTTGTTGATGTATTTTTGCTTGTATTTTGCTTTCCCATCAATAAAGTTTTCTTTTGCCGATTAAAAAAAAAATGTTGTACTAAAGGGTTTACGTTTTTGAGACAACAAATTTAGTCCCCAGACGATAGTAATTCATTATTAAATATTTAATTTTGTCACTAAAAATATAATAATAATAATTTTAACAACTAAATTGGTAATGAAACATTAGAATAAATTTTTGAGTCATACTAAAACAAGTAATTTTTTCAAATTTTCTTAACCCTAAACACAAAAGTAATTAAATTCATAAATAATAAATAAACTTGAAACTCATTCGTTTATAATATTTTTTAAAGTTTTTAGACATACCATTTGCAGCTTGGTACTCAGTTGTTTGAGTTTCTTTCTCCCAAGCTTTCCAACGCCTCATCTACATGGATTAAAAACAAATAAAAATGAAAACAAAAGGGGAAATATAGTTGGTGTCTAGAAAGTTGCTATTTTAGTAGGCTATTTTAGTAGGTTAAATTTTTGTGTTTTGTTTGGTTTTGGGAAAAAAATTTGGGGAGAGAGTTTAGAAATTTTTTTGGTTTGTTTAGTTGTATATTTTGGAAATAGTTTTGGAGTATGGGAGTTTGAGATGATTTGATATTTTGATGTAGTTAAGTAGATGTGTGTGAAAGAAAAAGTGATTGAGAAGGAGAGGGGAGAGATAAAAAGTGATTAATTGATGTATAGAAGAGAGAAAGTGATTTTGGATTTTTTTTTTCAAAATTACTAAACCAAACAAAAATTTGAAAAAATTTCTCCAAAATTACTCTCTCAAAAACAAACCAAACAACGCCTTTTTGTTCGGGAAGATAGTTGAATTTTTTTGTAGTTGAATGTGATGTTTGTGAGAAAAAAAAAATAATAATTATGGGTTTGATGTGATATTTTGTCTTATTAGACCATCTCTAACGGTTCATCAAACCTGGTATCAAATTCAAAATTTGATGAAAAAGCCACTTTTTTGAGCTCCAACGGTTTCACCAAATCGATATCAAATCCAGAATTCAGCAAATCTTTTACCAAAATGAGAACAGGCGAAGCATTTTACCAAATCACTGTTTCTAACCGTTGGGAGAGACCAACCGGTGGTCGACCGCCTAAAGGTTCAAACGGTTCGAAGAAAAGGTTCAAACAGTAAAAAAAAAAAAAATTTTTTTTTTTGCCTAACTGGTCGACCAGCCGGTTGACCACTAAAAGGTTCAAAAAGTTCAAAAAAAAAAAAAAAAAGTTTTTTTTTGCTTAACCGGTCGACCGGCCAGTCGACCAACCGGTTGTCCCCGGCACAAATTTGATGAAAGTGCACCGTTGGAGCGAGTGGTATCAAATTTGGTAAAATGGGTCATTTTTTACTCAAATTTGGTGAAAAATCTGATTCACCGTTGGAAATGCTCTTAGCTATTTTAACCTATTTTGTCTTTTAGTGTTATTTTAGCCAAAAAGTTGAAAAAGCTTCTTCCCAAACACCCCCGAAAAATTTTAAGTGCATAAAATTTGATCACAAAATTAAATATGATTATATCTAATTCTGTGATCGAATTATGCACACTTAAAAGAGATGAAAAATGCATAGCCAAGGATGGATGCTAAAATTTGTAGTGGACAATGTAGCTTGTTACCTTGAGCCTACCCAAAGCCATGGTAAGTACACTATAAACAATTTGCATGACTGCTAGCACAAAGAAGAATATGTGAAGCTGGTGTATCCCTTCTTGTGACACTAGTGAAACCTTTCCCTGCTAATTTCAGTGGGTAGATATTAACTACCTCTTTACAAATTTGTCCTTTAAATTAACGAAATTCAAATAAATTGTATAGGACATTTTAATCAAGACAAATATATGCAGAACTTCAAAAATACAGTTCTTTCATACCAAATAGTTTTCTCGCTTTATATATTAGTATACATAGATGCACCATGATCCAATAACTACCACATGTCATAGGTTGAAACCTGCTTGGTTTGTTTTCAGAAGAAATTTTCTATAAGAATTCTAAGAAAATTATAAATTAATTTGGTATAAATATATAAAAAATACTCATAATTTGGGGGACATAAATATTTTTAAAAAATTTTGAAAATATCTTTTAGATGTTTATTTTTCTGAAATTAATTTCTATTTTTCAAAAATATTTTTGAAAGCAGATTCTGAAATTAAACCAAACAGAATTTTTTGAGCTTTATAGAATTGAAGAAAGGAATAAATTGAAATTTGAAAATTTTTACTAAAACACTATTTTCATAGAACAACTACTTTAAGTATAAATTTTTAAATTTTATACTAAATTAATTGAATTTTTTTCTGCCAAACAAGTTGCGGCAATTTATTATCAAAAGTGTTAACAATATATAATATCATCGTTATACTTAATTTTTATTTTTATTTTTATTTTTTTTGTTTGCACAACAGAAAAGGAACGTACTTCAGCTGTGCATTTATCAGTACTGTTAACTGCACCAGCATCCACAGCATCATCGTCCAATCTTCTACGTGGTATTGTCCAGAGACTACCATTATACAAACCCGACACCGAAAAGTTCAAATTTCTGACAACTCCGACTGTAAAATGCTCCACCGTGGTGGGGGTTTCCGCCTCAGTCTCCTTTCGACATGGAAGCATGATGTCTGCAAGCCTAGTGGGTATGCAGATGTTGGCAATGTGCTCTTGTGTTACTGCTAGTATGAGTGACATGAACCCTAGTAACATAAGCTCTGCAAAAACAATTCCAAAAAAACATAAACAAAATCTAAATCTAAATCTAAAATCATACATCGTATAACGGTTCTATTACTGGTACAGAAATCAAACACAGAAATTAACATAGAATTCACATGAATAGACAAAATTTTATAGGATTTACTGTTTGAAAATCTTGTTTGTTGCATACATTCTGTGTCTTTTTGTGACAAGTTTATGTGTTCTAAGGTTTTATAAAAATTGAAATGAAATAGTCTGAGAACACAGAAACTAATCAGAAAACAGACAAAATCCTCTCACATGAGTTGAGTTCCACCCTTTTTATAGGTCTCACGCTTGTGTGAGAGGGTTGAATCTTAATATGTATTGATTTTTGTGTAAGTAGAAGAGCTGTATTGAAATCTCTGGACAGTTATTCATTATCAAACCAGATTTGAGCTTTTCAACAGCGTCATAGAGGGCAGACTTCCGATTTCTTTTGAGCCACTGTACCAATTAGAAGTATTGAATCAACATCTGTTTCATTCAACAATAATCAAAGTAACAAAGATATATGTGTGTGTGTGTGTGTGTGCGCGCGCGCACTTACTTTGGTGATGAGATGGATGGAGTGCTCGATAATAATGGAGATGGCAATGATGAAGAAACAGACAGTGGCGAAGGCCCATGTCGGAGTGTACTCAAGAGACTGACCGGATGTACCTCCGCCTGCCATGATCTTCTGCTGCTGCTGCTGCTGCTGATGGTGGATGAAGTGGTGGTTGTTAGTTTGCCTTCCTATGGTGTGGAGACAGGATGAACATTGGCGAGATATGACTACAAGAAGAAACTAGAGTCTTATATGTATTTATAATTAAAAATGGCTTTTGCTTTCCTATGTGTGTTTGGGTCAACCTTTTCAGTCGATAGCTCTTGATTCAATTTTATAATTAAAAATGTAATAAATGTTTAAGTGATATTGCTTTCAATTAATTTATCACTCTAGATTTTGGTCTACTATATATATATATATATTTTTTGTTATGTAAATAGTTAAAATATGAAGCAATAATAATAGATTTTATCTTTTTAAAATTTTCTAATAACTATTTTAAATTGATTTTTATCTTTTTAAGTGAAATGTAAAAATACAAAGTCTCAAATAATGCTTCTCTTTGGATCCCTGAATGTTCAATGCCAAATTTTGAAACAAAAAGAAAAGAAAAAAAATTGTGTAATTCATCAAATTTATCAAGTAATCGTATGTCCATCTAATAACATATAGACATACAATTATTTACTCTAAAAAAATGATCTTTTATACTCATACTATTAGAATAGCATATCATACATCATATAGATCAGACTTATATTAAATATTCTTTAAAAAAAAGGTGTGAACCCAAATAAATAATCCAAGAATTGAGAAACTACATTTGGCCATGAAAATCAAGAGTTTTGACAATCCACTAATCAAAATTTAAATCGTGATGGTTGACCACGTTTCGATGCAAGGAAATGGAGGGTGGGAATGGAAAGATAAAAGAGTAAAAATCATCCTCACACGTTTTTCTTTCGCTTTCAAATGGAAGGAACTTGAGAGAGAAGCATTCAATTCTCAAGAAGCACTCTCAGAATTTTTTATTTTTTATTTTTTATTTTCTTAATTTGGAATGAAAAAAAGAAAAAAACAAACAAACAAGCACAAACACTTTATATGATTTTTTTTTAGGTTAATTATGCTATTAGTTTTCAAAATATGACCTTGTGTTATTTTGGTAGGGGTAATAAACAAACTGAACGAGTTAAATGTTCAACCTTGGTTTGATGACTTTAATGAATTTCAAAATTTGTTGAAGTTTGTTTTGTTAAACTTTTGAGTTAATCTCAAACGAACTTTTATCAAGCCAAACTCGAGTAATTTAATATTTTATATAATTTTAGGTTTATTGAACTAAGCCGAACGATCAATTGATTGTTCAAAATAAGTTTGAAAACAGTAACGAGTTATTAAATGTGTTCAAGTTTGACTTGTTTATTTAACAAACTGAGTTCAAACGAACTTTTAATAAGCCAGAAATGAGTCGAGCTCGAGCTGCTTAGTTTGTTTATCACCCTTACATTTTGGTCCCTAATATATAAAAATGTTTCAATTTAGTTCACAATATGTAAAAGTATTTCTATTTGATTACCAATATCTAAATTGTATCAATTTAGTTCTCAATGTATCAAAATTGTTTAAATTTAGTATCCCAATCTCCTCTAATGCTCAAATTATGTTATTAACATAATTAGATTTTGAAACTAAAATGAAACACATTTATACATTGGGAACTTGATTACCATAACTTTAAAAAAATTGAAAGGTTATATAAAGAATTAAATTGACATAATTTAAATATTAAGAATTAAAATGATACAATACTTGTGTTTTGGAGACTAAAAAAAATATAATTAACCATTATGTTAATTTTTATTATAGTAGAAAGTGTGATGTGTGAGGGCGGATCCAAGTGATTTTGGGGATTCAAATATGTCTTAGTACGTCCAATTTTAATTTCTAATATATCATAATATGAATTTACTAATAAAGACAACACATATTAAATCTCAAAATAATATTTTTTTTCTCATAGTACACCTTAATCAGTTATTCCTATTCAAATCTCTGTATTTTTTTCCCCAAGAGATCAAAGTTATTCTTCGACTTCTTCTTCCTCCCTCCAAAACTCCAATCCACCCTACCAAAACTCACCATCATCATCAATATCGTTATTTTTTATTATTTTGAAATCCTAAATCGTAGAAGAAAGTTTGAACAATCAAATAATAGATGAGAATAATAATCAAAATAGTTTTTTGAAGCAACCTATCAAAAACGAGAAAAATATTCATATAAAGGGGTTTCACAATTTTTGTAAAACACCATCAATTATTTCTATATCATTTTTTTGAAAAAAAAATTGAAGGGCTCAGTAATTAAATTAACAATAATATATTAAAGTTGTTCTTATTTTGTCATTTAAATAGCGCATTATTTGAAAACTACTCTTTCGTGTTTGTGCTTGATTCTTATCTGTTTATAAGTTTGGTTTTTTACTTTTGCACAAGCATTCTTATAGATAATTTATAATTTTTTTTGTATTGAAAAGTTTTATAATGCTTATGTAAAAGTTTGATTTTTTCTGTATTTATAATGCTTATGTGCTTATAAGTTTGTTTGTTTGTGTGTGTGTGATTTTTTTTTTTTTTTTTGTATTTGAGAATTATTTTTTATATTAAAAAGATTTGAAACAATTTAATTTTTTTAGTTCATTTATTATTTATTATTTGAGTTTACCTTGAGGGCAATTTAAGAAAAATAATAAGATATAATAAGAATAAAATAAAATTTTAAATAATTAAACAGGATGTACTTCAAAATTAAAAGTTCATAATAATTTTTTAAATGTAAATAGAATGCCCGTAATTTGGCTATAATCGTTTTCTGAGAGTTTGACATCAGTAGAGAAGATGGTCCAGACGTTGGATTATCAAAAACATAAAATATGATGAACCACTCAATTTTCGTACGTATACATACTTGCTGACCAAGTCCAAAATGATAACTTATCAAGGCAAACCATTGACAAATATCATAGTCCATGTGTTAGAATTGGAGACCCCTACAAATTTAAGGGGAAATTATAAATCAGATATAATTTTTAAAAACAATTACATATTTATGAAAATATTTATAATTTTAATTATAAATTATAAATATAACTCATGAGATTTGTTTAAAATTTGAATTGTTTTTTATAGTTTTAGGAATTACAAATACATCTTTGTTAAAAAAAATTATTTAACAAAATTAACAGAAAAGATGAAATTCCTAACTACTTTCCTACGTAATAATAAAATTACATAAAATTTTAATTAGAATAAATTTTTGATTTTATTAAAACTCTTAATCAATTTGATGATTTATTAATAAAAGAGTTATTTGTTATATAATTAAAACTTAAAGGGGCATGATGTAATTTTCAAACTGCAGAAAATAATTTGTATTCATTGCAAACCTTAAAGGGTGTATTTATAATTTAAACTAACTTTAAGAATTAAAATTTGTAAAATTTATCATGAATACGGAGAAAAGAAATATTCAACCACGAAAATGGTTATTTCTCCAAAATTTAGCATACAAATATAAAATATATCAGCAAAATTCAAAACTAACACCCTACAACTACTTACATCTTTGTAAAACTGGTCAAGTGATAAAAATATGAAAATAAAATTTAAGATACCGAGTTAGAATTTTTGATTGTTCAAATAAGCAATAACTCTACAACGCTGCTACAGACCCCCACTGGGGGTCGACCCCAGTGACGTGGCGGGCCTCCATTGGCCAGTTTTCTGTTTTTTTTTTCTTTTCTTTTCTTCCAATCCTGCAGTGCCACATGGCACTGGGGGGTCGGTGGGGGTGGGGTTTACTGGGGTCCGGCGCATTTTTAATAACTCTAATCCAATTGAGCCGGACTAGACGGAAATACCCTTAGAAAAATTTCCATATCATAGGTAAGAAATCTCCCTTTACTAAGAAAAATGAAGAGGATTTGAATCACAGTATTCACTGAAACCTACAGGGTCCACTACTTTTTGTATTTTATATTTAATATATAATATTACCATAAAACTTAGAGTTTGTTTGGCAAACTCTAAATAAGAGTTTGTTTGGCATGATTTATAGTAGCATATTTTTTTATTTTTTTAGGTCACATCATTTTTTTTACTTTTTTTTTATATATATTTTTGTAAAAAGTTAGAAAGCATACTTATTTAAATCTTCTCAAACAACATGCACTTATTTAGATAAATGCGTTTATTTTGATCATATCACCCATTTATATTTCTGCACATCTTTTCATAAAAACTAAAAGAATATATTTATCTATATCATTCCAAACAACCCCTTAATAGATTATAGTTTCAATAAAAGTAAAATACAACACATAATTAATATAAAGAAGCTTCAAACAATAAGAGAGAAATTCCAAATAAATATACGGAAAATATAAGATAACATTTGGTAGAGTTTTTCAAATATGATTTGATAATATAGTTGTATTTTGAGTTTATAAGTTTTGGAATTATGATTTGAATGTAGGAAATTTATTTAGTTATGAGTTTTGAAAAGAGTTTTGAATTGAGTTTTGAGTTGAGTGTTGAATTGAGTTTTGAATCTTTGATGTGACATGTGAAATAAGAAAAGTTGTTTAGTTATAAGTTTTGGAAAGAGTTTTTAAAACTTAATTCAAATTGTTATAACTCATAACCAAACATACTATTCAAAATTTTATTGAAAATTCTGATCAACATTCATAACTAAACACTTTTTAAAATTCAATTAAAAAAATTAATTATTAACAAAGAATAACAATAATCAATTTTTTTAATTGAAAATATTACAAATGAAATAATTTTTTTTTTCAAAATAAATATTCAATTACTGATTTAAAATAACTTTTATTGTATATTTGGTTTAAATTATTTTTTAAAAAAATTTTTGATTTAAAATATAAAAAAAATAAAAATATATTATTTTGTTTAAAAAAATCAAAAAAAAAGTTCCTTTTTTTTTTTCCAAATAGCAGGTGCCATTTGCAAAAAAATAAAATAAAATAAAAAATAAAAAATAAAAAATAAAAAAAAACCCTATTCCAATCAACCGGTTGGACATCCTGGAGATGTCTAGGAGGACGACTAGGTAGACCAAAATCGCTCTTTTCAAAATTCAAAAACTCATTGTATTGCCAAACATGTTTTCCAATGAATTTTAAA